GAATACTACTACTACTACGAATACTACTACTACTACGAATACTACTACTACTACGAATACTACTACTACTACTACGAATAATACTACTACTACTACGAATAATACTACTACTACGAATAATACTACTACTACGAATAATAATACTACTACGAATACTACTACTACTACGAATAATACTACTACTACGAATAATACTACTACGAATAATACTACTACGAATAATACTACTACGAATAATACTCCTTATAATAATACTAATACTAATAATAATTATAAATAAGATAGAATTGAAGAAGGAAATTGTACAAAAATACGAGGGAGTGGTTGACACATCGTCATTGTGGCTTTGTTTATGCTGGAGTGAGCATTAGTCTGTGCTCTTCCAAACATTTCACAATAATTCATTGTGTTTGGTGCTTGTAGATTGAGTGCGACTGGAGTGGTAGAGGCAATGGTTGAGAAAGCGGTTGAGGTAACGGTTGAGGCAATGGGCGAGGCAGCGGTCGAGGCAATGGTAGAGGCAGCAGTTGAGGCAGTGGTATTTAACCCTTTGAGGGTTTTCGTCGTACTAGTACGTCTTACGCGTAGGGGTTTTTGACGTACTAGTACTCATAAATTCTAGCGACCTCAAATCTAGTGGGAGAAAGCTGGTAGGCCTTCATATGAAAGAATGGGTCTATGTGGTCAGTGTGCACAGTCTAAAAAAAATCCTGCAGCACACGGTGCATAATGAGAAAAAAAAAACTTTCCATTTTTTTTAATAAATCAGCGACTTTGCAGTGTATTTTCGTATAGTATTTATTGTTGTATTCTAGTTTTCTTGGTCTCATTTTATAGAATGGAAGACATATTACTGAAATTGAGATGATTTTGACTGGTTTTACAATGAAAGGTGCCTTGAAATTGAGCTCAAAGTAGCAGAAATGTTCGATTTTTACCAAACTTCAAAAGTAAACAAATCGTGCCAAGCGTGCAATACACGTCAACTGGTGAGTCTAATATTCTTTCACAAGTGCACCAATAATATTTATACCATTTTTTTACACTAATGCAGTAGTCTGCATAACAGTAAATCTTATATTTTTTGTGAGAATAAAAATTCAAAGTGGAAAGCAAAAGAATAAAAGAGGGGCCTTGAGACGTGACTAATGACTAGAGGAAATGTCATTTTAGTGCCAGGAATGTCTTTCTTGTTTATTCTGGACCCTATTCCGAAATTGGCATCTTTTGAAATTTGAGTGAAATTGGCAAAATTGCTAAATTCTGACCACTGTACTGGATAGTTGAATTTATAAATGGGTGGTTTCTTGCACCCATTCGATAGAAAAAATGGAGTTCTAGCGAAATATTCATGTTTTTTGTCGACTAGTACAGTGAAATTGGCCGAAACTGGGGCTCAAAGTGGGCAAAATCGCCGATCCGTAAACATCGCCGAGACCGCTAACTTTGCGAGAGCATAATTCCGTAAGTTTTCTATAAAATTTCAAACTTTTGGTGTCGTTATGATCGGGAAAAGATTCTCTATCTTTTCATAAGAGAAAATTTTTTTTTTTTTAAATTTGGCCGACCCTGAGAACGAGTTTCGGAGAGGGCCTGTCGACCCTCAAAGGGTTAATAACATGTATGTTATAAATAATAATAGTACATATTATTAATAATGTATTATTAATAACATGTATTATTAATAACATGCGGTATTTAATAACATGTATATTAAATACCGCTGCCTCTGCCACTGCCTCTACCACTCAATCTACAAGCACCAAACAGAATGAATTATTGTGAAATGTTTGGAAGAGCACAGAGACTAAGGCTCACTCCAGCATAAACAAATCCACACTGACGATGTGTCACCCACTCCCTCGTATTTTTGTACAATTTCCTTTAATTCTATCATATTTATTATTATTATTACTATTGTTATTATTAGCAGTAGCAGAAATGTTTGATTCTTTGCTGTGTTCAAGAGTAAACACATGATGTCACCATCCAATACCTGTCTGAATAGCCATTCCAATGTGCAGTCATGAATGGGTTTACATTATTTATACTGTAGTTTAATAACAAATAATGAACAAAACGCTCACCACACAGTGGTGGGAGGGCTGGCTGCCAGTTGCTGGGGTTGGAGGGAGGGTAGTAGGGACTCGCAGGTAGTGGGAATCTTGAATATGATTTGGCGGCTGGGAATTTGGCGGTTGGGAATTTGCGAATGTGTGAAGCCCACAAAAGTTGAGGGAGACCTGTATTAGGATTGAACAAGATTGTAATACAGTTAACCATTTCTGGTCTAGTTTTAAGTACAGTGGACCCTCAACCAGCGATATTAATCCGTTCCTGAGAGCTCATCGTTAGTCTCAATTATCGTTAGTCAAGTTAATTTTCCCCATAAGAAATAATGGAAATCAAATTAATCCGTGCAAGACACCCAAAAGTATTGAAAAAAACAAATTTTACCACACGAAATATTAATTTTAATACACAAACTGAAGATTACATGCACAGCTACATAGACACTTTCCTTTATTGAAGATCTGGTGATGATTGATGGTATGGGAGGAGGGGAGAGGTGTTAGTGTTTAGAAGGGGAATCCCCTTCCATTAGCACTTGAGGCAGCAAGTCTTTTTCTGGGGTTACTTCCCTCGTTCTTTTAATGCCACTAGGACCAGCTTCAGAGTCACTGGACTTCTGTCGCACAACATATCTGTCCATAGATACCTGTACCTCTCATTCCTTTATGACTTTCCTAAAGTGGTTCACAACATTGTCAGTGTACAGGTTGCCAACACGGCTTGCAGTAGCTGTGTCAGGGTGATTTTCATCAAAAAAGGTTTGCACTTCAAGCCACTTTGCACACATTTCCTTTATCTTAGAAGTAGGCAACTTCTTCAATTTATCTCTCCCCTCCTCCAAAGCAGTTTCCTCAGGTCTGCCCTCTTGCTGTTCAAGATCTAGCAGCTCATCAGTGGTTAGTTCTTCACTGTCCTCCACCACCAACTCTTCCACATCCTCCCCACTAACCTCCAACCCCAAGGACTTCCCCAATGCCACAATGGATTCCTCAACTGGCATAGGATTCTCAGGGTTAGCCTCAAACCCTTCAAAATCCCTTTTGTCTACACATTCTGGCCACAGTTTTTTCCAAGCAGAGTTCAATGTCCTCTTAGTCACTTCCTCCCAAGCCTTACCTATAATGTTTACACAATTGAGGATGGTAAAATGATCTTTCCAAAACTCTCTTAGAGTCAGTGAGTTTCTGAGGTCACTACAAAGCACCTTTCAAACATAGCTTTTGTGTACAGTTTCTTGAAGTTGGAAATAACCTGCTGGTCCATGGGCTGCAGGAGAGGAGTGGTATTAGGAGGCAAAAACTTCACCTTAATGAAGCTCATGTCCCTAGAAAGTCGCTCTGCCACATCTGTAGGATGACCAGGGGCATTGTCTAATGCCAGGAGGCACTTAAGGTCTAATTTCTTTTCAATTAGGTAATTTTTCACATTGGGGGCAAATGCATGGTGTAACCAGTCATAGAAAAAGTCCCTAGTGACCCATGCCTTACTGTTTGCCCTCCACAGCACACAAATTAGCCTTGAGGACATGGTTTTTCCTGAACACTCTGGGGGTTTCAGAGTGATACACCAATAAAGGCTTCACTTTGCAATCACCACTAGCATTGGCACACATCAACAGAGTAAGCCTGTCTTTCATAGGCTTATGCCCTGGGAGTGCCTTTTCCTCCTGAGTAATGTACATCCTGCTTGGCATTTTCTTCCAAAACAGGCCTGTTTCGTCACAATTAAACACTTGTTCAGGTTTCAGTCCTTCACTGTCTATGTACTCCTTGAAGTCCTGCACATATTTTTCAGCCAATTTGTGGTCCGAACTGGCAGCCTCACCATGCCTTATCACACTATGAATGCCACTACTCTTCTTAAATCTCTCAAACCAACCTTTGCTGGCCTTAAATTCACTCACATCACTAGTTGCTGGCATTTTTTTAATTAAATCGTCATGCAACTTCCTAGCCTTTTCACATATGATCGCTTGAGAGATGCTGTCTCCTGCTATCTGTTTCTCGTTTATCCACACCAATAACAGTCTCTCAACATCTTCTATCACTTGCGATCTCAGTTTCGAGAACATAGTTGCACCTTTGGCAAGAACAGCTTCCTTGATTGCCATTTTCTTGCCCACAATAGTAGCGATGGTTGATTGGGGTTTATTATACAACCTTACCAGCTCCGAGATACGCACTCCACTTTCATATTTATCAATGATCTCTTTCTTCATCTCCATAGTAATTCTCACCCTTTTTGCTGTAGGGTTGGCACTAGAAGCTTTCTTGGGGCCCATGGTGACTTATTTTGCAGGTGCAATCACTAAAAAGGGTGTGATAACATGAAATGTTCCAGTTGTATGTTTGGAAGCGACTGCGGTGGCTGGCTGGCTTGTAAACACTGGCACCAAAGGGACAAGTGAGGTGCGCTCAGGCCAAAGTGGATGCGTATGGTACGGAACGAATAGCGCTGGTCGGGTTTTTAAGCGCTAGTCGAGGCAAAATTTGTGTTAAAATGTATCGCTAGTCAGATTTATCGTTAATCGATGCCATCGCTGGTTGAGGGTCCACTGTAGTACTCTGTATTAGGATTAGTCTGCCCAAAATGCCCCAGCACGATAATGGCTTTCTTTGTACTCAGGAAACAAAAACTGTAATTACATATTGTAACCTCTACAAAGAAATAAACCTTTATCTTTATACAAAAGATTATAAAAATTGTGTGTGCATGCCAAAAGCCCCTTTATATGCAGAGCATTTTGGGGAAACTTAAAACTTAAGGCAATAACAGTCCAGTAATTCTGTGCATAAGGTCATTAGGCGAGTTTACAATGAATACAAGAGAAGCGAATATTCTATTAGTTCATGCTATATGGCTTAATCATTAGGACAGGCTTTTTTAATTTCCTCCTTCAATCATGCACACAGCTGATCTAACCATACCTCCCACTTCAGTGCCAACCTGTCGCTCTCTACCAGCTGAAGCGACAGGTGGTTGAGCCTCTCTTTAAGCATTATGACAACCTGCTCTTTGGCTTCACTCTGCTGCCTCAACTCTGCTAGGGCTACTGCTTCCTGGTGTTTCTGCAACAAATTAAAAAAATCACTAAAATGCAGTTAAAAATGTGAAAATACAAATCCTAAAAATCAACAAATACACTTGAGTACTTTGAGTTTACATACACACCTTCAGGGGAGGGCATTTCTAGTTCCTCTTAATTTTTCATGGTATTTTTTTTCCCAAGATGCATACTACATATTAATCCCTTTCTTGTGTATAAATTATTACATTCATTTGAGGTCACCCTGCCTCAGTGGGATATGGCTGCGTGCATGCATGCAGGATACTGAACAGATGGATAGGAAACTATCTCATGATAAAGGGAAGTATTGCATACCATCCTTAAAGGGATACTGGGTAGTTTTCAAACTTTAAGACCATCAGTGGTCCATAAACTAAGATTTTTAAATTTCAATTTGTTAAATTATACACATGTGCAACTCTTGGGTATCTATTCAAGATTGATGGACTGACCACATCGACTCAAGGTTGAGGGACTGATTTCCTCATTCTCCTCCTGTTCAAGTTTATCCTTTGTATGGACTGATGAAGCCACTGTGTGGCGAAACGTTTCCTCAATAAAGATACCCAAGAGTTGCACTAGTGTCTAATTTAACGTGTCGGTTCTTTGAACCATTCATCTACAAATTTAAATTTAAAGGGAAACTACAGTTTTTCATATATGGAGCCAAGAGCCTTCTCATATCAGCTCTTTCCTTTATTAACTCACCTGATCAAGAGAAGCTGAAGTGTTGGGATCAGACAGCTGGTGCGAGAGAGATCCCACCTTGTTGGTGAGATGGACGAGTCTTTCTTCCCTATCTCGAAGCTGCTCTGAGAGATATTGCACATCCTTAACAAGCTGAGCAACTTTATCATTCTTGTTTGCAAGCTGATCTGAGAGTGATCCCACCTCATCAGTGAGACTTGCAATACTTTCTTCCTTGTTAGCAAGCTCATTTGTAAGGCGAGCAACTGTCGCTTCCATCTCTGAGTGCTCACTTCTGAGCTGCCCCACTTCCTTTGTGAGCTGAGAGAGAGTTTCTTCTCTATTTGTGATCTGTTCTGAAATGTGCCCCATCTGGTTAGTAAGTTGGTTAACAGTCTCTTCTCTGCTTCTGACTTCATTTGAGAGTCTAATGACTGTCTCTTCCCCATCTGTGAGCTGGTCTATGAGATACCCAACCTCATTACCAAGCTGGGTAATTGTATCTTCCCTGTTTGACAGCTCATCTCTTAGCTGTTCCTCTTCCTTAGAAAGCTTGGCAACTGTCTCCTCTTTCTTTTTCAGCTGGTCTGAGAGATGTCCCACCTCATCAGTTAGCTGGGTCACTTTCTCTGCCAGATTCGTGAGCTGGTCTGTGAGATCTCCCACTTTCTTTGTTAGCTGGGTGACTGTCTCTTCCCTATTTGTGAGCTGATGTTTGACATGTCCAACTTCTTCCGTTAGCTGGATAATGGTCTTTTCCTTATTTGCCAGCTTATCCAGGAGGTTTTCACCTTCATTTGTGAGCTGAGCAACTGTTTCTTCCTTGTCCGAGAGCTTATCTGTAAATTGTTCCACCTTCTTTGTGAGCTGAGTGACCATCTCTTCCTTGTTTGTAAGCTGGTCTGCAAGACATTCCAAATCATTTGTGAGCTGGTCAATTGTCTGTTCCTTATCCAAGAGATGATCTGATTCATCAGAGAGACGAGTGTGTGCCTCTTTGCCATTTGTGAGATGGTCTCTCAGACTCCCAAGCTCAGCAGAGAGCTGGGAAATTGCTTGGTCTTTGAGTGTGAGCTGGTTTGTAAGATGACCTACTTCCTCTCTGAGCTGTATTTCAGTTTTTTCTTTCTGCTTAAGATGAATGATCACTTCTTCCTTGTGCGAAAGCTGAAGCTGGAGTTTGTTTATATCTACAGAGAGCTTGGCAACTGTCAGCTCGCCATTCTTAACCTGGTTTGTTAGACTCCCCACCTTACTTGTGAGTTGGGCAGCTTCCTGACCCTTCAGTGAGAGTTGGTTTGTAAGATGTCCCAGTGTATTTGTCAGCTGGGCAACAGTTTGTTCCCTGCTTGTGAGCTGATCTTCAAGATGTTCCACTTCAACTGCAAGTTTGGCAAATGTCTGTTTTCCATTACTTAGCTGGTCTTTGAATTGTCCTACTCCATCCGAGTGATGGGAGGCTGTTTGTTCCCCATTAACCACGTGAGCTATCGCTTGCTCCTTTTCTTCATGTTGATCTCTGAATTGTTCACACTCTAGAGGCTGCTGGGTAACAGGCATAGTTGGAGCAACAACACCCAAACCACACAGAAGGGCAACTGATGCTGGTAGTTCCTGGGAAAAAGACAACACACATTAAATAATAATAATAATCTTAACTAAGCACTAAACCCATAAGGGTCATACAACAGGCACAACACAAATACAAGAAATGTTAATGAAGAGACTTTTGACTTCCAACCAAATTCTCTTTGGCAGACCCAAATGATGAGTATCTGTTGGAAGTTGAGATATACAAAGCTAACTTCATCTCTGTAATGAGTATTTCACTGATACTCCTTACTCATCATCCCCGCAGTCACAAATAGGTTATCGAAACACCCAATCAATACTCTTTCTGTTAAACAGATTTTTCATGAATTAAGTTGTGACAATATTTAACCCATTTCAGTATCACATCACCTGGTTTTCCCTAACTAGTACCATTACTTAATATAAAAATAAAACTACTTGCAGAGGCTTTTGCATAACCAATAATTAAGACATATTTGACACATTTACCTTAAAATCTTTAAATAATTTTGATTTTTAAGTTTGTCTTCTATGAGCACAATGAGTGATGGTGAATTTCCAATTTAGGGTCACACTATCTTGGCAAGATAGGCAACTAGGTTATAAAAAATATTGAATTTTGAGCTATGTCAAAAATTTTAATTTGAAATGGAGTAAAGCCATAATTCCTGCAATATAACTAGAGCATCATAGTCATTTATGTATAAATGGTCCAATAAGACATGTTCAGCAATTCAGTCATCAAACATTCCTATGTATAAAAGCTCCCTAGAACATTTTTCATATACATGTATTATAATCATGGGGAAGTGCTAAACCCGTAGGATTATACAGCGCCTGTAGGTGAAGGATGGAAGGCATTCAGGCTCAATTCAGGGAACTGGAGCACAAATCAAGTTCCCTAGATCAAGAGCCCCTCACTAGCATCAAGGAACCTTCCTTGAGGGGCATATAATGTATAGGGTTCATTGTCTGCAACTTTATCTACAAAGAGCAGACATAAATTATACTAGCCAATAAATTTTGGCTTGTTATCCAGTTCAGAAACCAAATTGGGGTTGTAAACTAACTTATATGCTGATCACAGCTTTTGTGTATCGAGTAAATTATTTTTTTTATGAATCTTAATGTTTAAGTACCATGTGATATGTTACCTAACAATCATGGGAGTTGTATGCATATAGTGTGGTGAATGCAATGACAAACTTACCTTTCTTAACTTTAATTCATTGAATGCATGTAAATGTATACATGCATGTATGCATGCATATGGATTAAAGGCTACCTGTCCTGTCTCCTGTGTTGTTCCCAGGACATAAAAGTAACTAAAGACTGAATTTAGAGCCCCCACAGGGAGGCATCTTCAGTCCCACCTTATCTGATATTCAAATTAATGCTTTACTAAATACTGTGCCTATGATTAGTTTTGCGCATATAAAGATTCACACCGCTGGATTCTCCAACACCCATAACATCCTTAACCATGTATGTACTAGCCTCATCAGGACCTGGGGTTGAGTATCTCTGCTTAGAAAATTAAGATACTTAAAGGGCATCCTCCTCAACAGAGGTGCAGTCTATGGGATCCAGTGGCATGGTGGGTCTTAGTAGAATATGTAAGTAGATACAAGTATCTAGGCTCTGAGGTCTCGCTTCTCTCCCCTTTACTACTTGGAGCTCCCGGGAGAGAAGCATGAGTTTCCAGTCAGCATCCAGAAATAGGAAGCCATCAAACTGTGCATCAGGTTTCCCCAATATCTCTTCTCCATGATGGTTATGCCTATGATATTCACTGTGGAGGCTAATTTACCAAAAACGAAGTGCTGGAGCAAAACCAAGCTCAGAATTAAATTCAGTGTTCTCAAATTAGTTAGGAAAATCATAAATTTAAACCACTGTTGGACAGTGCTATGGTCATGGAAAAGAACTCAACCTGCAATGGTATACAACACCCAGGGAATGGAAAATTTGATCCAACCTGGAGAGAGTTCCGGGGGTCAACGCCCCCGCGGCCCGGTCTGTGACCAGGCCTCATGGTGGATCAGTGCCTGATCAACCAGGCTGTTACTGCTGGCTGCACGCAATCCAATGTACAAGCCACAGCCCAGCTGGTCAGGTACCGACTTTAGGGGAGGGTAGCCGAAATGCTCAGGATCAAGAGCCCTTCACTGGCATCAAGGGACCCCAGTGAAGAACAAGACCAATAAAAGAACAGCAGCATGACTAATGTGCAATGATGCATCATTATTTTAAGGTGAATAAATTTGCAGTTAATTTTACTATTCTATAAGAAATTATCAGTTACCTGTAACATTAAATTTTTATAAGTACATCGAGTGGACCAAAGAAAGGAAATGCACTCAACCATCACTCAATAACTATTGCTTAAGTGTGTTGACATCACAATTCCAGTTAATCTGATTATAATATCCCCTCCCCTCCTTCAGGGTACAGACACTATATTTACTTAAAAGTATATACAGAGAACAACTGAAGCCAAACCCAGAACCAGGGATATGCAAACTTACTTATCCCCCCCCCCCGTGTTGTCCAATTAACAATGTGATTTTACAACATACGCTAATGTTAAGGAATGTAACCCATGCATTACGTGTTGATTTACTACACGTCCCTTTTATATCAGCAGCTATTACCATTACTACATCGTTACATCTCTCAATTACCCGAACAGCAGGCTTCTCCAAGCTCTTGGCTCGTAAAGAATTTGTAGACTTGGTAGATGGTGGTGACACAGGTATTAGAGGTTCTCCAGACTTTATATGGGTTGAAGATACCAGAGGTTCTCCATACTTTATAGATGTAGTTGAAGATACCAGAGGTTCTCCTGTTGACTTGGTAGATGGTGATGATGTAGATACAAGAGGCTCTGCACACCTGGCATGTGCAGACAATGAAGATACTGAAGGTTCTACCAACTTGGTAGGTGTCTGTGAAGAAGATACCAGAGATTCTGCTGTCGACTCTGAACGTGCTGGTGATACCAGAGGCTCTGGCGATGAAGATACAAGATTTTCTCCTGTGAACTTTGCAGGTGACGATGTAGCAAATGTCAGAGATTCTGAAGAATCAGCACTTGCTGGTGCTGAAGATAACAGAGGATCAGTCAATCTGAAAGGTGCTGGAAAAGATACCAGAGGCTCTATTGACCTGGCAAGTGCTGGTGATGTGGACACTAGGGAATCTTCAGATTTAATAATTGCAGACACCAGAGGTTCAGATTTGGCACACACTAGTGATGCCACTGATGTATGAGGTTCTTTTGATTTAACATATAGATCCTGCATTTTAAGTGCTGCAGATAACTGAGCCTCTGCAGACTTTGTAGATGGTGGGGATGACACAGACTCCCAAGGTTCTGCCAACTTGCAATGTTCTAGTGATACAGGAGAGAGCATAGGTTCTGTTGTCTTGGCATATGCTGGTGATGGCAGCAGTAACCAAGGCTCTTCCATCTTTGAAATGGCAGCACAGACACATGGGACTGTCGATTCGGCAAGCGTTGCTGAAACCACAGGCTCATTTGCCTTGGCGTGTGTCTGAGACAATACCCGAGGTTCTTCAGGCTTAGCTGGTTCAGACACTGCAGGATCCCCAGGCTCAGCCGGTCCGGGCAATGAAGGTTCTTCAGGCTCAGCCGGTCCGGATGGTTCTTCAGGCTCAGCCGGTCCGGATGGTTCTTCAGGCTCAGCCGGTCCGGATGGTTCTTCAGGCTCAGCCGGTCCGGATGGTTCTTCAGGCTCAGCCGGTCCGGATGGTTCTTCAGGCTCAGCCGGTCCGGATGGTTCTTCAGGCTCAGCCGGTCCCGGATGGTTCTTCAGGCTCAGCCGTCCGGATGGTTCTTCAGGCTCAGCCGGTCCGGATGGTTCTTCAGGCTCAGCCGGTCCGGATGGTTCTTCAGGCTCAGCCGGTCCAGATGGTTCTTCAGGCTCAGCCGGTCCAGATGGTTCTTCAGGCTCAGCGGTCCAGATGGTTCTCAGGCTCAGCCGGTCCAGATGGTTCTTCAGGCTCAGCCGGTCCAGATGGTTTTTTCAGGCTCAGCCGGTCCAGATGGTTCTTCAGGCTCAGCCGGTCCAGATGGTTCTTCAGGCTCAGCCGGTCCAGATGGTTCTTCAGGCTCAGCCGGTCCAGATGGTTCTTCAGGCTCAGCCGGTCCAGATGGTTCTTCAGGCTCAGCCGGTCCAGATGGTTCTTCAGGCTCAGCCGGTCCAGATGGTTCTTCAGGCTCAGCCGGTCCAGATGGTTCTTCAGGCTCAGCCGGTCCAGATGGTTCTTCAGGCTCAGCCGGTCCAGATGGTTCTTCAGGCTCAGCGGTCCAGATGTTCTTCAGGCTCAGCCGGTCCAGATGGTTCTTCAGGCTCAGCCGGTCCAGATGGTTCTTCAGGCTCAGCCGGTCCAGATGGTTCTTCAGGCTCAGCCGGTCCAGATGGTTCTTCAGGCTCAGCCGGTCCAGATGGTTCTTCAGGCTCAGCCGGTCCAGGCAATGGCTTCTTCAGGCTCAGCCGGTCCGGGAATGGCTTCTTCAGGCTCAGCCGGTCCAGAAATGGTTCTTCAGGCTCAGCCGGTCCAGGAATGGTTCTTCAGGCTCAGCCGGTCCGGGATGGTTTTTTCAGGCTCAGCCGGTCCAGAATGGGTTCTTCAGGCTCAGCCGGTCCAGATGGGTTCTTCAGGCTCAGCCGGTCCAGGCTCACTCGGGGAAGGTTCTTCAGGCTCAGCCGGTCCCAATGGGTTCTTCAGGCTCAGCCGGTCCAGATGGTTCTTCAGGCTCAGCCGGTCCAGATGGTTCTTCAGGCTCAGCCGGTCCAGATGGTTCTTCAGGCTCAGCCGGTCCGGGATGGGTTCTTCAGGCTCAGCCGGTCCAGGCATATGAAGGTTCTTCAGGCTCAGCCGGTCCAGATGGTTCTTCAGGCTCAGCCGGTCCAGGCAATGAAGGTTCTTCAGGCTCAGCCGGTCCAGGCAATGAAGGTTCTTCAGGCTCAGCCGGTCCAGGCAATGAAGGTTCTTCAGGCTCAGCCGGTCCAGGCAATGAAGGTTCTTCAGGCTCAGCCGGTCCATGGCAATGAAGGTTCTTCAGGCTCAGCCGGTCCAGGCAATGAAGGTTCTTCAGGCTCAGCCGGTCCAGGCAATGAAGGTTCTTCAGGCTCAGCCGGTCCAGGCAATGAAGGTTCTTCAGGCTCAGCCGGTCCAGGCAATGAAGGTTCTTCAGGCTCAGCCGGTCCAGGCAATGAAGGTTCTTCAGGCTTAGCCGGTCCAGGCAATGAAGGTTCTTCAGGCTTAGCCGGTCCAGGCAATGAAGGTTCTTCAGGCTTTGTGAATACTGCAGACACGTCTGGATTTGCTGATTTAACCAGTGCTGCAGACAGAGCTTCCATTGACTTTACAGATGCTGGCACAGCAATCTGAGGTTCTTCTGACTTAGCAAGTACTACAGACACCCGAGTTTTTGCAGTGTATTCACTGGAGAATTTACAGTTTCAGCCACAGAGTTGGCTAATGATTCAGTCACCCAAGAATTTGCAGACTCGGCCACTTGGGGGTTTGCAGACTCGGCCACTTGGGGGTTTGCAGACTCGGCCACTTGGGGGTTTGCAGACTCGGCCACTTGGGGGTTTGCAGACTCGGCCACACGGGGATTTGCAGACTCGGCCCACTTGGGGTTTGCAGACTCGGCCACACGGGATTGCAGACTCGGCCACTGAGGATTCGCAGACTCGGCCACTGGAGATTTTGCAGACTCGGCCAACGAGGATTCGCAGACTCGGCCACACGAGGATTCGCAGACTCGGCCACACGAGGATTCGCAGACTCGGCCACACGAGGATTCGCAGACTCGGCCACACGAGGATTCGCAGACTCGGCCACACGAGGATTCGCAGACTCGGCCACACGAGGATTCGCAGACTCGGCCACACGAGGATTCGCAGACTCGGCCACACGAGGATTCGCAGACTCGGCCACACGAGGATTCGCAGACTCGGCCACACGAGGATTCGCAGACTCGGCCACACGAGGATTCGCAGACTCGGCCACACGAGGATTCGCAGACTCGGCCACACGAGGATTCGCAGACTCGGCCACACGAGGATTCGCAGACTCGGCCACACGAGGATTCGCAGACTCGGCCACACGAGGATCGCAGACTCGGCCACACGAGGATTCGCAGACTCGGCCACACGAGGATTCGCAGACTCGGCCACACGAGGATTCGCAGACTCGGCCACACGAGGGATTCGCAGACTCGGCCACACGAGGATTCGCAGACTCGGCCACACGAGGATTCGCAGACTCGGCCACACGAGGATTCGCAGACTCGGCCACACGAGGATTCGCAGACTCGGCCACACGAGGATTCGCAGACTCGGCCACAACGAGGATTCGCAGACTCGGCCACACGAGGATTCGCAGACTCGGCCACACGAGGATTCGCAGACTCGGCCACACGAGGATTCGCAGACTCGGCCACACGAGGATTCGCAGACTCGGCCACACGAGGATTCGCAGACTCGGCCACACGAGGATTCGCAGACTCGGCCACACGAGGATTCGCAGACTCGGCCACACGAGGATTCGCAGACTCGGCCACACGAGGATTCGCAGACTCGGCCACACGAGGATTCGCAGACTCGCCACACGAGGATTCGCAGACTCGGCCACACGAGGATTCGCAGACTCGGCCACACGAGGATTCGCAGACTCGGCCACACGAGGATTCGCAGACTCGGCCACACGAGGATTCGCAGACTCGGCCACACGAGGATTCGCAGACTCGGCCACACGAGGATTGAACTCGCAGATTCGCATCGGCCACACGAGATTCGCAGACTCGGCCACACGAGGATTCGCAGACTCACGGGTTGCAGACTCGGACTACGTAGATTTTCGGCACAGAGGATTTGCAGATTAATTGGGCTGCGTTCAGCGACCTGACGATAGTAGATTTTAAAACACTGCAGGTGCTTGCTGCTGACTTCAATTGCCCCTTAGGTGCTGTGGTCAACTGTACCTCTGCTGACCTAGGTACTTCAGATACCCTTGTTGCTCTCTCTCTTCCAATTCTGTCCTCAGGTGTCACTGGTTTGAAGTCTACTCTCTTTGTTACCTTCATTCTGGTTCCTACTGTCTTCCTTTCACCTTCATTCAGTTCTCCTCCCATTATTTGGCTTGGTTCTGCCTGCTTTTCTTCGGGTACTCCCTCCATCTTGGTTTTACTGGACTGAGTCTCTTCTGTTTGTGCATCATCCTGCACTTCCGCTTTCCTCTTGCTGGCTTTCCGCTCCACTTGCTGATCCACACGAACTTTCGGTTCATCATTCTTCTCTTTCGCGTCAACTTTACCGGCTTTTGGCTCTTTCGTGTCAACTTTACTGGCCTTCGCCTCTTTCGTGTCAATTTTACTGGCCTTTGCCTCTTTCGTGTCAACCTTACTGGCCTTTCGCCTCTTTCGTGTCCAACCTTACTGGCCTTCGCCTCTTTCGTGTCAACCTTACTGGCCTTCGCCTCTTTCGTGTCAACCTTACTGGCCTTCGCCTCTTTCGTGTCAACCTACTGGCCTTCGCCTCTTTCGTGTCAACCTTACTGCCTTCGCCTCTTTCGTGTCAACCTTACTGGCCTTCGCCTCTTTCGTGTCAACCTTACTGGCCTTCGCCTCTTTCGTGTCAACCTTACTGGCCTTCGCCTCTTTCGTGTCAACCTTACTGGCCTTCGCCTCTTTCGTGTCAACCTTACTGGCCTTCGCCTCTTTCGTGTCAACCTTACTGGCCTTCGCCTCTTTCGTGTCAACCTTACTGGCCTTCGCCTCTTTCGTGTCAACCTTACTGGCCTTCGCCTCTTTCGTGTCAACCTTACTGGCCTTCGCCTCTTTCGTGTCAACCTTACTGGCCTTCGTTTCTTTTGTGTCAACCTTACTGGCCTTCGCTCTTTCGTGCAACCTTACTGCCTTCGCCTTTGTGTCAACCTTACTGGCCTTCGCCTCTTTCGTGTCAACCTTACTGGCCTTCGCCTCTTTCGTGTCAACCTTACTGGCCTTCGCCTCTTTCGTGTCAACTTGACTGGCCTTCTCCTCTTTTGTGTCAACTTTACCAGCTTTTGCCTCTTTTGTGTCAACTTTACCGGCTTTTGGCTCCTTTGACCGACTACCTTTTGTCTCTCTATCAATTCCGTTTGCTTCTGGGAATTCGGCAGTGTTCACCGTGGAGTGCACCTTTGTCAAACTAGGTTTTACATTCTGGACTAGTGGTCTTGCTTCCTCCTGCTCCTCAACTATCTGTTTCCCTGTCTTTGTCAGGTCCTTTTCCAACTTGCATTTTGATTCTACTTTCACATCTTTCTTTGGTTCATTTTCATTCCTCTTCACTTCTGTTAATTCTTTTGCTGTAGATAATCTTGCTTCAGCATCTTCTGCCTTCAGTTCCTTCTTTGTCCTTGCATTTGCCACTTCCTTCTTTGTTTTCATCGTATTTGCTGCAAAATCTTCTTTCTCTTTTGTCTTGCTTGGTTCTCCTGCTTTTGTTTCTTTGTTTATTTTTGCATTTTCCTCTTCTATTCTTGCCATTTCCTTTATCTTGTCAGTTTTTGCATCCACCTTAATTTTAATGGGTTTTTCTCTCGTCCTTGATTCTTCCTTCCGTTTTGGGTTTGCTTCCAACTCCTCTTCCTTGTTCATTGCACCTGAATCTCTTATTTTTACTTCTTCCTTTTTCATTGCTTTTGCTTCTATTTTTGCATCTTCCTTTTTCACTGTGTATGTTTCTCCCTTCATATCACTGATAGCATTTTCCTCCGTTTTAGGATCCTCCCTCTCTTTCATTGTTTTCTTTACATTTGCTCCATCTTTCTTTGTTTTAATTATGCTTGCATCTGTCTTTGAATCTTCAGTCTTAATTTTATCCACATTTCCTTTATCCTTCTTTGCTTTTGTAGTGTTATCTTCAAGTTTTGTCTCTTCTTTTTTCTTTGCATTCACTTCTTCCTTTATATTCCTTGTATTTGGTTCAGTCTTTAGTTCTTCCTTCTTGACTTCCTGGTTTCTTTTGTTACTGGTCTGTTCATCTGCTTTTTTAATGTCCACCTTATATAGTTCCTTTGTCGATCTTTTCTCAGCCTTGTTTCCCTCCTTCTCCAGCTCTCCTTTCTTAGTTTCTCGGGCATTTGTTTCTACAGCTTTTTTAAGTCCATTTCTTTTTGTCTCATCGGGTTCAGGTTTTGGCTTCACAATTTTCATCTCTTCCTTCTCTCTGCCACAAATTTGCCAGGGTTCCTCCGGTCTTGGGTCTTCACTCTTTGGTGTGCCAGTTTCTGACAGACTTGCTCTCTTCACGGGGCCTTTCTTCTTCTCCCCACGCAAGTCTGTCTTCTTCTGGTCAATGGAGGAGAGGCTTTCTTCTCTGCCTATTTTTTCTTCAATCAACTTACTGCACTCTTTCCCACCTTGTTTTAAGTTTCTGTTCGACTCTCGTCTAGTTACATCCACAATGGGTTTTTCTCCTTTCTTGGGAAATGCTTTCGTCCCCTCAGGCAGCTGTGGGATTATGTCGGGCAAATTTTGAGCTTTAATATCACCAAGTTTATCTCTGCTCAAGGGAGTAGATTCACTAATATTTTCTGATTTGCCAGTTTTCTTTATCCTTGTGTTGGGCCACGCCTTATTTTCACTCTCAAATTTTGAAGAGTCTACTATATGTAGCTTCACCTTACGAGGGTTTTCTCGTCTTACACGAGGGGTCGTGTGTATGCGGTTAGGGTGGAAGGGGGTGGTAGTCGTGGTGGATCTTAAAGATGTGGTAATGGGCGATTTTCGTGGATCGATATCGCTGTTGGGGCTTCCTGGCAATGAGCGAGAATGTGGTCTTTTGTTCTGAAATAAAAAAAAAAAAAATTACTTCAGTGTATACAAGACAATCTGCCCTACAGTATTTTCTGTACAATGTTAGGACATGTTCAATACAATAGTAAATTTTATAAGTTCTTGCACCTAAGCTTCTCAATTTAATGCTGTGGCTATACGTAAATTTTATTTTATAAAAGGAAATTTAAGTGAATAAACTGCAAGATATTATACTTTGTAGATGGCATTTTATTAAAAATACTGTATCACAGAATCTTCATTATACTTTTGTTTACTACTTTCTTACACATGCTACACAGTAATGGACAAATGAAAATTTAAATAAGTAAACGTGTGACTTGGTCAGGCTGCATAAACCTGTTACCATACTCGATACTCCTACTGGTTAGGCAAGTGACCTAACCTACCTGTTTTGCAATGAATCTCAGGAATTTCAGGACCTTACGGTGGTACCTGACCCTCGGGAAGTTCTGCGCAATACGGCCAGCCTTGTCGGTAAGATCGTATCTGACCCCATTGTATACCAGCCACTTTACCAGTTCCAAATCACCATGAGCAGCAGCATGGTGGAGGGTTGAGGACCAGTCAGTAGTAACCCGGGAGGAGAGATCACATCCATGGTCCCGGAGAACCTCCAGCACCTTCTTGCGGCCACGAGTTGCCGCACGGTGCACTGGCTGCATGCCTGCAGTAATGAGGACATTCATCAGGAAAATTTTTTTAACACTGGCCATATCCCACCGAGGTAGGGTGACCCGAAAAAGAATAATGTCACCATTTACACAATCACTGTCTTGCCAGAGGCATGCAGATACAACAGTTTAAATGTTCCTCTGCATACCTGGAGTATACATGGAGGGTTCTGGGGGTCAGTGCCCCCCATGGCCTCTGAACAGCAAATACCCCAAACCCCTCCTTTAGAGTGCTGGCACTGTACATCCCAGCTCCAGAACTCTAGTCCAGTTAACTGGTTTCCCCAAACCCCTTCATAAAATATTACCTTCCTCACTCCAACAGGTCGTCCAATCCCAAAAACCATTTGTCTCCACTCCTATCTAACATGCTCACTCATACCTGCTGTATGTGCAGATATACAGACTTATCCAAATTGTTTTAACCCTTTGACTGTTGCATGCCCCTTTCTGAAACTCATTCTATGTCTCAAATTTTTGGGAGAAAATAAAAAAAACTTTCTTATGAAATGAGAGAATCTTTTCCCGAAGGTAATGACACAAAGTATGAAATTTGGTCGAAAACTTGCTGAATTACGCTCCTGTGAATTTAGCAGTCTCGGCAACATACGCATCGGCGATTTCGCCAACTTCGAGCATTGTTTTTGGCCAATTTTATTGTTCCAGTTGACCAAACTCGTAGCTATTTCTTTAGAACTCCATTTTTTCTATCAACTGAGTACAAGAAACCGCCCATTTACCGATTTGAACTACCCAATAATAAACAATGCAGACATTCTTGGCACTAAAATAACATCCTCTATTCATTAGTCACGTCTCTAGGCCCTTCTTATATTACTATTGCTTTCTGTTTTGATTTTTTATTCATACAAAAAATACCAAATTTACTGTTATGCAGACTACTGCATTATTGTAAAAATGGTATAAATAATATCAGTGCACTAGTGAAAGAATATTAGACTCCCCAGTTGAAGTGTATTGGACATGTGGTGTGATTTGCTTATTCTTGAACATTGGTAAAAATCAAACATTTCCGCTACTTTGAGCTCAATTTCAAGGTAGTTTTCATCATGAAACTAATAAAAATCATCTCTATTTCTGCAATATGTTTTCCATTTTATCACATGAGACCACAAAAATGAGAATACAACAATAAATACTATACAAAAATACACCTCAAAGTCAGCGTTTTAATCCAAAAAACTGGTCAGTTTTTTTCTCATTATGCACTGTGTGCTGCAGGATTTTTATGTGGTGCACACTGAACACACAGACCCATTCTCTCGCATGTGGGCCTACCAGCTTTCTCCTGCTTGATTCGAAGCCACTAGAAATACTGAGTATACAGGTCCGCCATCACAAATACGGCAATCAGTTATTCGGCACTAATTTTGGCTAGCATAATTTCAAATTTCCAGGGTCACCACACAAACCTGCTGGTACTGTCTGGTGGTGCTACTTGCTGCACAAGTCACTCCAATTTCTTTTTCTCCATTTATTGTTTTAACCCGCTTACTTTTAGCCCTATCCACGGTTCCAATGAATAAAAGAAATGCTTCTCATTATGTAAAGCACCGACACAGTACATTATCCATTAAAGATAAGGTGGCTTTGAAGCCACTGTCTGTTACCATGAGCTCAGTCTCATGATGCAGGAGAATATGCTTTATTATTACGCTAATATCAACACTACAGCTTATTTGCCTATCACGATTGATCTAATATGACATAATAAACAATATAAATAACATAAAACATGTTAAATACTCCAGAATAAATAATATTTGGCATAACACCGAGCAGTTCGACAGAGGTACGAAGAGGATATGGTATAAAAATACCATTCTCCTATCCCTGTCTTGGGGGGATTATATTAGAGAAAACAGAGTATAGCACAGGGCTAACTGATATACACTCATACTGCACCATAAACCTCAAACAAAAGTTATTTTCTCTATATAGATTATCACACACACAGCAGCATGTGTAGGGAACCTAGGAAAACCCAAAAAAGTCAACGTGGCTTATTTCTAGTATCTGGCTTGGGTTAGCCATATACGATTTTTGGTAAATATTCGATTCCCAGCCAGGGTAGAAACATTAGGCGTGTTTCTTTACACCTGTTGCCTATGTTTGCCCATCAGTAAATAGGTACCTGTGTGTTAGCCGACTAGTGTGGGTGTTATCCTGGGACACTGACATAGCCCCACTCCACAAAGGGGGCAGTAAAGCAATAGCAAAGAACTACAGACCGATAGCACTAACATCCCATATCTTAAAAATCTTTGAAAGGGTCCTAAGAAGCAAGATCGCCACCCATCTAGAAACCCATCAATTACACAACCCAGGGCAACATGGGTTTAGAGCAGGTCACTCTTGTCTGTCTCAACTATTGGATCACTACGACAAGGTCCTAGATGCACTAGAAAACAAAAAAGAATGCAGATGTAATATATACAGACTTTGCAAAAGCCTTCGACAAGTGTGACCATGGCGTAATAGCGCACAAAATGCGTGCTAAAGGAATAACAGGAAAAGTTGGTAGACGGATCTATAATTTCCTCGCAAACATAACAGTAGTAGTCAACAGAGGAAAGTCCAAGGCGGCTACGGTGGAAAGCTCTGTTCCACAAGGCACAGTACTCGCTCCCATCTTGTTTCTCATCCTCACATCTGACAGACAAGGATGTCAGCCACAACACTGTCTTCCTTTACAGATGACACCTGAATCTGCACGACTGTCTTCCATTGCACACAACACAAGGCTCCAGGCGGACATCAACCAAATCCTCCAATGGGCCGCAGAAAACAATATGAAGTTCTACGATGAGAAATTTCAATTACTCAGATATGGTAAACACGAGGAAATTAAATCTTCATCAGAGTACAAAAACTCTGGCCACAAAATAGAGCGAAATACCAATGTCGAAGACCTGGGAGTGATCACGTCGGAGGACCTCGCCTTCAAGGACCATAACATTGTATCAATCGCAGCTGCTAGAAACATGACAGGATGGATAATGAGAACCTTCAAAACTAGGGATGCCAAGCCCATGATGACACTTCAGGTCACTTGTTCTATCTAGGCTGGAATATTGCTGCACACTAACAGCACCTTTCAAGGCAGGTGAAACTGCTGACCTAGAAAATGTAGAGAACCTTCACAGTGCACATAACGGAGATAAAACGCCTCAATTACTTGGAGTGCTTGAAGTTCCTGAACCTGTATTTCCTGGAACACAGGCGGGAGAGATACACGATTATATACACCTGGAAAATCTTAGAGGGACTAGTACCGAACTTGCACACAAAAATCACTCAACGTAAGCAAAAGACTTGGCAGACGATGCAACATCCCCCCAATGAAAAGCAGGGGTCTCACTAGCACGTTAAGAGACAATACAATAAGTGTCAGGAGCCCAAGACTGTTCAACTGCCTCCCAGCATACATAAGGGGGATTACCAATAGACTCCTGGCAGTCTTCAAGCTGGCACTGGACAAGCACCTAAAGTCGGTACCTGACCAGCCAGGCTGTGGCTCGTACATTGGATTGCGTGCAGCCAGCAGTAACAGCCTGGTTGATCAGGCTATGATCCACCAGGAGGCCTGGTCACAGACCAGGCCGCAGGGGCGTTGACCCCTGGAACTCTCTCCAGGTAAACTTCAGGTAATTTTCTTTAAGTACTCTGCATAACAAGCAGCTTTCTATGTAGTAGTATGTCACTGATATCAGCTAGGCCTGTATACCTTGTACATGCACATGTAGTAAATAAAGATATTACTACTATTTTCTCAGTTGTTTGTTGGGTTATCTTACTGAAACTTGGGCAACGTATGATGTAAAGATACTTCTTAACGTACACCAAAATTGAAAGAAATCAGACCATAAATAGCGGAGTTTACTTCTCAGCCATTAGCGGCCGCTTAGCCGCTAATGGCTCATTTGATAGAATGAAAGATATACAGTGGACCCCCGCATAGCGAACGCCTTGCATAGCGAACAATCCGCATAGCGAACGCTTTGTTCGCTAAAATTTTGCCCCGCATAGTGGACAAAAACCCGCTCAGCGAACTTCGTCCGAGACGCGTCCAATCTGCGCCCTCAGCCAGCCTCACATGTGCCGCCCGTCCCATTGTTTACCAGCCAGCCTCCGTGGTAACATTCAAGCATACATCGGAATATTTCGTATTTTTTACAGTGTTTTCGGTGCTGTTTGTGGAAAATAAGTGACCATGGGCCCCAAGAAAGCTTCTAGTGCCCCCCCTACACCTCAAAGGGTAAGAATACCCATTGAAATGAAGAAAGAGATCTTTGATAAGTATGAAAGTGGAGTACGTTTCACCGACCTGGTCAGGTTGTACAAAAAAACCAAAATCAACCATCGCTTCTATTGTGGGCAAGAAAACGGCAATCAAGGAAGCTGTTGTTGCCAAAGGTTTAACTGTGTTTTGAAAAAAAGATCGCAAGTGATGGAAGATGTTGAGAGACTCTTATTGGTGTGGATAAATGAAAAACAGCTAGCAGGAGATAGCGTCTCTCAAGCGATCATATGTGAAAAGGCTAGGAAGTTCCCATGACGATTTAATTAAAAAAATGCCTGCAACTAGTGATGATGTGAGTGAATTTAAGGCCAGCAAAGGTTGGTTTGAGAGATTTAAGAAGCGTGTGGCATCCAATAGTGTGATAGGGCATGGTGAGGCTGCCAGTTCGGACCACAAAGCGGCTGAAAAATATGTGCAGGAATTCAAGGGTACATAGAAACTGAAGGACTGGAACCTGAACAAGTGTTTAATTGTGATGAAACAGGCCGGTTCTGGAAGAAAAATGCCAAGCAGGCCCTACATTACTCAGGAGGAAAAGGCACTCCCAGGACATAAGCCTATGAAAGACAGGCTTACTTTGTTGAGTGTGCCAATGCTAGTGGTGATTGCAAAATTAAGCCTTTATTAGTGTATTCACTCAAACTCCCCGAGCATTCAGCAAAAGAATGT